CTTTTCGCTGCGCTGCCCACTTGTAGCTTTGGAAAGCTGGCTTGTCCAGCTGCCTTCTGCACAGAAAACTCGGCTTCGAAAGAGGAGGCTGCAGCACGTAGTCAGTAGAGCTGGCTCGTAGGCGAAGAAGTCGCAGCCAACGCCACCTTGCAACCAAGAGCTTGCCGCCGGAGAGGAAGACGAAGTAGTGAAGGCTCGTAGGCGAAGAAGTCGCAGCCTGTGCCACCACGCAACCACCAGCTTGCCGCCGACGAGGAAGACGAAGTAGTGCTCGAAGGAGAAGAGCTGCTCCACCGCTACTCCTGGGCCGCTTCGAGGTACGAGAAGGAGCTTCACCCTTTAGCCCAGTCAAGGGTCCTCGGCAGCGAGAGAACTCAAAAAGAAAGGCAGGAGCCGCGCAGCAGCATCCACAGCACGTCTGGCCTGGTGGGTCAAACGTCCAAGCACTGTTTCTGCTGCTAGCTCTTGAAGGTAGTGCTGTAGAGTCTGGATATGCTGCAAACGCATGCGCCATAGCAAGTCGTGCACCGGAACGCCCTGGCGATAGGCATGAACAGCAGCGCCTCCACGAACGGACGCTGGAGTCAATCCGATGTCGCTTGCTACATGAAGGGCTTGCAAAAGATCATCCCATCGCCGTCTAAAACTCTGAGCAGACAAGGGATACAAAGGCGCATCTGGAGGAAGACTGCCAAAGACCTGTTGGCAAGCGCGCACAAGACCAGCGTGCTGTACCGTGGCATGCTGCTGGCGAGCGCCTCCCCGACGCCTGGTCTTAGGCAGACGGATGCGCAGAAAAACTCGGTCTGACACCTCCGATCCAATGTCAGCAGGCAGTACCAAATCGGCACGAAGGGCACGTAAAACTTCCCCGATCCGAAGAATTCCTTCAAAGGCAAGGAAAAGAACGAGCCCGAACCTGGGCCAGCCCCAACAAAGCGCGAGACTGACCATTGCATGACACAGCTTGTGCGGCAATGGTTCGCGATGCACCAATGGTTCCACCTGTTCCCAACGAGTCACAAGGTTCCAACAGTCGCGGCTATGTAGCCTGAAATCTTGGTAATGCCTCTGGGCCCACGCCAAGAGATGGCGAAAGTGTGAAAGAGGGGCCCCTGTATTAAACAAGTGTTCCCCGTAGGCCGCCAATAAAGTGGCTGTAGTGGCCCCGACATCCAAAATGACAGCAACTGCCTCTGCGCTCATATCCAATGCGACCCACTGACGGAAACTCTCCCAAAGGCGGAGCTCCAAGGTTTCTGTGCGCGCCTCGACGAGCGGCACTGCGCGGAGCTCCAGGCCCTCGCGACGCTCAGCGCGAAGCGCAGCAGTGGTGCGAGGAGGTCCAGGATGAAGTGCCTCGCCAATCCTGGGACCGAGAGCTCGTGCGCAGCTGCTGGCATCCAACTTTCGAAACTCAGGGCGGTCACTGCAAGCACCGCCCATGGCCATTGCCAGAACCAGCGACAGACCTCGAGGGTAAGGCTCAGCGACTCGAGTCCAAGACATGCGATGGATAGCCGATCTCCCTCTGAGCACCTGATGCTTCGAGCATCCGGGGCACAAAGTGGCCTGATGCTTCAGGCTAGTACTTGTAAGCACTGTGGTTCGCTTGCGCCATGGCGCCTGAAAAGCGCAAAAGTCGACTGTCCACTTTCCCACTTGCTCGTAAGATTGAAGCTTTGCGAATGCTGGTAACTTCCACAAGAAGGAGCACTGCGGATTCTCAATCCAAAAAGGGAGCCGACGCTGCACACACAACTCGCCCACTGAAGCAACAAACTTGCCCAAGGAGTTCCCAAGAGTGACCTTAGCATGTTGAGCACTGGGCAACCCTGGCAGTCCTTCGGGGCAAAGCGCAGATCGACACGCCGGTGTCACTGCCCGTGAGAACGACGAGCACACAGGAGCCGCCCCACATCCAAGTATCCAACCTGATTCAAGAAGCTGAAAAATCTCATGCTGAACAGCAGTAGAACTCAAATCTTGGCTGTCGGAAAACTTGATGTCGTAACACAGCACCCAGCGCCCGGTGAGCCGCGCGAGCTCTCGCGCGACTCCACAGCAGCCCGAAAACAAATCCAGATATCCTTTCTCAGCAGCACAAAAAGACTGTTCCACACCTTTCGGAAAAACAAAGGTTCCACAAGTGCGAAGAGGAGGCCGATCGTCAGCCTCAGCCTTGCTCCCCGCTGCAGAACGGCACGATTGAGCGGACCTTGCATGCTCTGGTAGCAAACTTTCTGAAACTTGGCACGTGGTGAGGAGCTCTCGAAGTTTCCTTGGGCCCCGAAGATGTCCATGTCTCACCTGCGTCACAATCTCAGCTTCCCCTGCTCTACTAAGCTCGGCTAGCGGAGGCAGTCCAGACACACGGTAGGGGTCAGCATCGCGATGCTCGAGCCACTCATCCAGTTCAACGAAATCTCCCGCAAGAGCAGAACTCCACCAGGAAGACTCCGGTGCGGTAGGCGAAGGCATAGGCTTGCCTCGAGTAGGAGCATCAGCTGGATTGATAGATGTGGCGTAGTACATGTGCATGGCGTGTATACCCCCACCTAGATGCTCAGGCAACGAAGCACGTAACTCGCGGTTCAGTGCAGGACTTGTCGAACGACCTTTGAGCAGAGCTCCTAAGGCTACTTGCGAGTCGCCAGCAATCACCAACCGAGTGGCCTTGCCTTTCAACTTGCCGACCCGCTCGGCCTTCAAGAAGGCACGGACTTCACCTATGTTGATGTGTCTGCGTTTTGCGCTCTTCTTCTTCCAACACAAGTGATACTGCCTCGTTGTCGCCAGCTCGGTCCAGAGCGGATGAGCTCGAAAACAGTCCCCGGCTCCTCCAGGAACTTCATCTTCAGGTTCCAAGTCTCCGAAAGCCCGAGCTCGCGCCTTGAGCGGGGACAAAAGACGTGTCCACACACCTTTGGTCAGCGTGTGACGGCTAAGCTCTTTCACGAAAGCCCGACTGGTCCTGGTAGCGCAGACTGCCTCTCCCCACATAGATGCGTCCACTGCATATACCTCGGGATTGAGAGCAGCCCGCAAATCAGACACCGCAGTCGGAAGCAGCACAGCAATGGTAAGCAATTCCATTCGGAGCTTGCGCCCAATCACTAGCACGGCATGCTGCTTTCTGCCCTTCATCACTTCAAAGATCTCCTCGAGGAGGCTCATGAGCCGCCGCCTGTAGGTGAACAAAGCAATGAGGCCACCAGCGAGCACTTCAAGCAACCCTACGCTCACGACTCCGAGCTGTAGCACCTTGACAAGGATCTTCAGCAAAGGAGCAGCTCGCTTGAGAGACCCGCGAACCAACCCAATTTGCCCGTCCAGTTCTACTCCCCAAAACTCCGCCCGCATAGAATCACGAACAGCTTTCGCTTCATGCGGAATGAGGTGAACTTTGTGATAAGCATCCTGGGCACGATCAGCAAGCAGAGCACCTTGACTAGGAACGGGTTTAACGGACAGCTGAGTTGCTTTCACCTTGCTGAGCGAGACAAAGTCGTCGATCACAATGCCACACATGGTGCTGCACCTAGGAATCGGAAGGGACATCGCAAGGAGGCTGTTTTCGTCAACAATGTGCTCTTGCAAACACAGTCCCAAATGGCATGTTTGAGCAAGCTCGACCGCCTGAGTGTCCCCCATTGCCAGACACCCGAGCGCAACATAGAGCTCGCTTTCGCCAAACATCCAGTCCTGGAAGCAGGAGAGATGCTGAACTTCACTTGGATGCACACTGCCTACTAAGCTGTTTCGTTGGGCACGTTGATTGCTGACGCGAAAGAGATGATAAAAATCACGGATATCATTCGTCGATGTGAGCACCACCTCTCCTTCTTCAAGGATGAATTTCGTGAACAGCTCTCCGGCACCCAAAGTCATGATGTAACGACCGGGAGGACTCTCCAACAGGTTATGTGGTCGTGAATCCATGATCAACCTGTCGTACTCCAATGACTTTATCACTGCAAACATCCCAGCACCGAACTGCGCTCTAATGTCTTGCTTCCGAAATAAGCGTATGCGCCCACTTTTGTCAAGCAAGCTGAAGAGCTGGAGTTTCTGCTCGCGGCTGCAGTGAATGCGCACTCGGGGTATCCTGCCTTCGAACTCCGATGGAGAAGTAGAGGTCTCGAACGGGCAATCATAGATTTTCCGACTAAGGGGGTCCAGGTAGGGCCGGGGATCGAAGTCAGGCCGCCCTCGGAATTGAAGCCGATTAGCCTCGACCTCCTTGTACGTGCCTGCATAGGCCCGACTCAACTTGCCAATCTCGAGAGAACCCTCAAAAGGCTGGTGCACGACGTGATCTCGAGCAACATTGGCAAACTTCGCAAGCTCACTCAGCGCTGCCTCCAGGTCCTCAACCTTGCCGGCGGTTCGCCCCATGTCCTCCGGCCCAAGCACACCAAGCTCGAACCAGGCATCCAGGTACTTCTCTAGCCGATCCACCTGCTCTTTTTGACAAGTGCGCAGCCGCCCTCCGGGAAGACAAGCATCAGGTGCTCGGGAGGGAAGGCCCAGCTCGATGAAGTCCAGGACGATGACAAACAAGTTGACAACGTACTTCTTCAGCAAGTCGCCCTCGAGCTTGTCGGCCGCCTTGGTCATGACCTCGCCGTAGGGCACGGGGATGGGCCACACTCTGCCCTCAGAACCACCAAAAGAATCGCCCCACTCGCGAGGGGGCCGGGCAGTCCTAAAGCAGCTTCTGGAGAAAGAACCAAAGTCGCCGGAGTCCTCGAACACCAAGGTCCCCAGCTCGCGAAAAACTTTCAAAGGATCAACACTTTGAGCTCTAGACCCCGGCACGTGCTGTCCTTGCGCCTGTCCTTCCAACTTTGCCTCAGGTCGGCCCGAGGTGTCCGCTGGTTGCGCAGCTCCAGCACCCGCACAAAGGTCAGGCGAATCATGCAAAAGTGGGGCACCAAAAGGAGGAGACAGCTGGCTATCAAAAGGCCCCGCGCAACTGCTCCGCATCGCACCTGATATCACTGCTGTTCGGCACCCCCTTGGGCACCACTGCCGTCGCGGCCTCGCCCTCGTCCTCGGCCGCGCCCGCGCCCCTTCGGATCCTCGGTGGTCTCCTTGTCGCTCCCACGAGGGTTCGTGGGCAGCTCCCGCCTCGAACCTTGAGCCAGCTTCTGCTTCGCCTCGTTGAACGACTCCCGGTCCTTCAGCACCTGGAGAAACACCTCCCCCCAACGGGGGTCGAAGAGCGCGGAGATCTGGGACTCCGCCGGCTGAGGCCCGGTATGCCTTGCAAATTCTTGAAACGGAGGAAGCGGCTCTAGTAGAGCCACAGTGCTCATCACCCAAGACCCCGAATCGATCGAGGCCTGGTCTGCGCAGGCCACCAGGAGGCCTGCACGTGCCCTTGCACGGTCCACGTTGTTCTGAACAAGGTCGTCCCATATGCCTGCGACCTGCCACGACCACCGAATGTGATTGTGGAAGTTGCCGATCCTGCTCTTTGCGGCCAGCCAGCCCCGCGCAGTACCATTGCCGCCGGAGTAGTCGGGAACACCTGGCTTCGGTGGTGCCACCTGAAAATCCAGCATCATTTGCCGCTCCAGAGCTTCGTAGATGGCCTTGGGGTTCTCGTCGTAGACCTTGGTGAGGAAGCGCAGAGCCGCTGCACTTTTCCGTCCTTGGCCGAGGTTCTGCTGATCGCCACTCCCGCTGCTCACGCCGGCGTCCAGCACGCTCTCTAAGTCCGGTTTTGAAGGCCTCGTCGGGTGAGCCAACGTGCTCACAATCTTTGTGAGCTGCAGAACCGCAGCCTCCATCCGGCTTCCATCCTGCTCGGGCTCGTCGAGGTTCAGCTCCTCCAGGTCCTCGGCAAAGTCGTCCTCGTCCAGGCCAGCGCCCACCGCCGTGGCGGGCTTCTCGCCCGCATCCTCTGGCTTCTTCAGGCGCTTCGCCGCTAGCAGCTTGCCCATCTCCTGCAGCGCGCTGTCCTCGATCCCGGCCGCCCTGGCGGCCGCAACCGTGGCCGGATCCAGGCCACCCATCGCTGTCTTCCTTGGGGCTGCCACGGCCTTTGACTTTGCTCCCCTCACCTTGTCCCGAGGCTCCTGGGGCGCTCCAGCCTTGTCCGGCTCCTTTGCACCAAGGTTCGCGATGAGCACCTTTATCTCGGCCAAACCAGATTCGACGGCACTCATTCTTTTGAAAATTCCCTCGGGTCCTCCGGTGCTCTCCGCTGTGGTAAAGGCGAAGTGCTCGTCCGCCACGGAGACCAGTGCCTGAGCATAGGGAAGCACGGTCGGCGCGAACTGGTACTTTACCTCCCCGGCCGGCCGCTCGTAGTTGATAAGGGCCTCCTGCTCCATCGCAAGGACGCCCACCCAAAGTTTGATAGTCACCTCGGGCAGCGGCACTTCCGGATCCTGAGGTGTGGCTCCGACCACCTCCACAAGGATGGCCTTTCCCAAAGTAGTCGGGCTGACCTTGCGCCGAGCGACTTGCCGATGCCACACCTCCTGAGGCAGGGCGACTATAGCCCGGCCGCCCAGCTCTGCAATCGTCAAAATTGAGGTCTCCTCGTCTGCGACGGCGCATGGCAAAGACCCCACACGATAACTGAAGTTTGTGCGACCTGCTTTGAAAAGGAGATGGGGCCGCACTTCCGTCTCCTCCTCGCTAGGGCTTTCACCCCCACTCATGCTTCCAACACAAGAGGCCACTGGAAGCCGGCCTCAGTCACTGCAACCACGGCCTCCCGCTGAGAAGGGAAGCCGACGAAGAGGGAATCGAACAGGTTGCCCTTTGTCTCCACCAGCTCCTTGATGCCTCGCCAGCTCCGGAAAACTCGGACAGGATCTGTGTAAGTACACCCGCCCTTGTCCCGGACCAACACGTAGATAGTGCTTCTCAAAGTGATCTTGTCGCGCCCGCTGGTGCCACTCCACTTCTTCCGCTCGAGCCCAGCTTTCAAGAATCGCCCGATCTCGCGGGCCACCTCCAAACGAAAGGTCCAATCGGAACTTGCAGAATCTCCAGGGCGGCCCTGGCTGGAAGAAGCAGGCTCTGAACCGAGCCTCTCAGAAGAAGTCCCCTCCTCAGGGGGCACTTGTACAAACTCAAAGCCTTGCACAGCCTTGAGCTCAGCGATCTCGGCCTCCTGCCGCTCCACACGCAGCTTCAGAACCTGAAGTTCCAGCCTCAAAGCTTGAATCTCGAACCCAAGCTCTTTAACTTCCCTGCTCATGCACTCGATACAAAGGAAAAGGCCCCACAAAGCGCGGCTCACGAATGAACCACCTGGCTGCAGTCTGCCTCCACCACACACGCGCACAATAAAGCAGATCGATGGCCGGTCCCAAAGCCACCCCGCACAGCAGACCTATCCAGAAATTTCGGCTTCCAAGGATTTCAGGCCAGTCTTCTGCAGCCCCCGTAAGAGCGCACAATGGCTCGAGAGAAGGAGGGCTTAGGCTTGGGGTGGGCACCAAGGCAGGAGACTGCTGATTAAAGCTTTGCACGAGGGCGCTCAGAAGCAAACCGCCAAGCGAGCCTGAGGCCAAAGCCTCCCTTGACATGGGCTAAGCCCACAAAAAGCTGCCACCATTCACTGACGCACAAAACATGTGAAGCAT